GTTTTTGTTACCTCACAATGAGCCTTTTTCATCTAACGCTGCGGGTTGCTTTCCATGGAGTTCGTCATGAGGAACCTTGAAGCCACAAAGATATACCGTAGTCATAACTCTGTCAGTTTGATGACTTTATTTCTCTGACTAATATGTTCTTAAGTAAAAAAAAAAAAAAAAAGAGATGTCCGTCTATACTGCAGCAAATATACAGTCTGAGTCCAGGGGAGTTGATCTTACGATAATAGTTATATATTTATATGCAGTGTTTTAAGCACCACAGCTATCACTTACCAGTGCACAGGATCTGATGTCACCAGGCCTGGATCTATCCAGAGAGCACTTAGAAACACAGCTTTAAATAATATGCTCTGTAAATATATGTTATGACATCTCTCCAGCAGAGACTGACACCCTGGCAGAGATCCGATTCAAAGCTATTCTGGGTGCTACTGGCGCTCCCTGGTGTACTACAGCCAGTCCATGCAGTACACATCAAAGTGCACATCTGGAAGCCTTTTTTTAATTTAATAATGTCATTGTGGTTTTATCTGGTGACCATAATGCCTCCAGAGCACCCCCCTTGGTTGCTGTACCACGGCAACGTTGAGAGTGGTGATTAAAAATATGTAATTTTCTTATTATATGTTGTCATTATTCTTGAAAACAAACATGATTTTTTCCTCTCTGCAACAGTGTAAACGGTGGAAGGTTGATATTCATAACCATTACACCATAGAGTTAGTTCTTTAATACAGTATCGGACATAGCAACATAAAAGCATGTTTGAGCCGTCAGACGCAGGCGCTCACCTTTTTTTTTTTTTAGGCCCAAATCCTGCCGGCTACAGCTACAGCACAGATCCTGGACGTAGATAGCTTTGCTGATCACCACATGTACTGCCAGCTGACCTTGGCTTTGCATCGATCAGGGTCAGGTTTCAAATAAGCTGCATGAGATTTGTATTGGTTTTCGCTTCATGCTGGGACAGATATTGACGTTTTTAAATATTGTGATGTGTGTGCTGTTTCCCTTGTAGGCTATAGGGATTTTTGGATACAGTCCATTGAGTGTTGGTCTGTCTTGCACAAGGTCCACCCCCAAAATCTATATGCAAACAGTGTGCTGATAGAGGATACTGCTAAATATGAAACAGCTGATTATATATCGTTATTGTTTTCCTTGGTTGATATTTTGGAGTTACAAATCAGAGCGCCATGACTGTATACATTTCAGGCATGCGTGGACCTAGTACTAAACAAACCTACACGTGTTTGCGGTCATAGTGCAACCACGTCTCAGGGATGCTTTGGGCTCCCCAGACTTTTCCCTCAGCTGACCCCCCTCTGGTTGTCACATAAATGGATTAGACCATGGAGCAGACCAGGTTGTGTGGTCCTACTGGTGCCCAATCCTCTTACTGGAAAGAAAGCCATCAGCTGACGCACGTCGGGCCCAGAGTTTCCACCAGTCTGTCCTCAATTACTGATATAGGTCTCTGGGTTGTAGGTGGGTGTATGCTATGACACGGGAGAGAGATCCTGGTCTGTATGCCACAAGGTGAGGAACACATGAACGCATCTAATCTTCTTTAAGTCTGAATGATGAATCTTTTCATCCATCTTCACGGAATAGGTGCCTGATTTAAATTAAACTTTAAGAAATGATGTACAAGAGTAACCTTTGATCTTTTCTAGTTTATGTGGTAAATAATACTTAAAAAGTTATACTAAATTTACTGTATCCTTAAAAAGGCCCCTCATAAATGCTTAAAACCTGAATATTATGATACATTATGATATATAATGAATATATCAGCAAATCTGGATACAGACAGAGGTGGCTTCTACCCATTGAGTTGTTCCAAGACTGTAAAAAGAAACTCTTTGATCAGTTTACTTAAATGTACAGAGCTTGATGTTTAAAATATTCACCTGCTGCTGCTAGAAATAGTCTGTTTTATGTGATTTTTGTATCAGCTCCCATAGCCAGAAGTGTCATGACAGTTTGGACCTAATTATCCCCAGTTTGTGGATGTACATTTCAAAATGACTGTATTCCTCCTGTGACTGTGTGAAAATGAATGTTTGGACACGGAGCTATTTATAGAGCGAGAGCATGTGGGTAGGGAGATGCTGCCATGTGTGTGTTTGTTGGATAGAAACAGAACATCGGTGTGACTGGGTTGTTTGCGTGCATTTTCCTCCAAAATCACAACCACTGAGGATTAAAGCTCTAGAGACTCACTGAAACCCCCTTTTGGTGTGCAGTCATCTATACAACCAGATAAACTTGTACCTAGTTCCTTGTGTATGTGGTCAATGTAGAGCATGTTCAAAGCTGGTTTAGTCACACTTGACAGTTCTTGTGGGTGAGAGATGAAAAGCAGTTTGAGTTGATTCCTGTAACATTCTGCTGATTAATTTTCCTTTTCCTGACTCATCTAACAGACTTTGAGCTGGAAAGAAAGTGTTAATGGGGGCGCCACCAAGAGGCAATGCAAAGAATTACAAGGGAATTAAACAGATTGCACTGAAACGGCCCTTTAATGAAACTTGACTCTTCTTTGAAAGCAACATTGATCTTCACACACACCCAGCTAAACACATTTATTCCTGGGACCTTTCTGTACTGTATTCTACTCCACATCCTGACCACATGAGCTCCTGGTGCAGTTGGTTCTTTGATAGCAGATATCTTGATCATAGCTACATTTACTGTCTAATCACAAGAAACAAGCTCCTCTCTCTAGCCTTCTCTCTGCTTTAGCTCCAGTCCTGTTGGCATGGCTTCAACTAACCTCAATGTGAAGTAGTTGAAGAAATATCAAACCCCGTCTCTTAAGCATGACCTGTGATCTCACACTTCCAACTAACTGATCTGCTTGATAACAGTTGACCAGTAAGCTGTTTGACTACAGTAAATGACAGTGTTACTTATCTCTCTGTAGATGTGAATGACTGTGCTGGCCAGCCATGCGAGAATGGGGGCACCTGCAGGGACCTGAATGGAGATTTCAAATGCCACTGCCCATCCCCTTATGTGGGCAAACATTGCCAACTGCGTAAGTTTGACCAGTCAACACACCTAGATGAATGGTGATCAATTATTGTCACTGTCATCACTGTCATTACTTTAATCTGAAAATACATCTAATTTTACTGGATATAAATAGTGTGTGTTTTACAGATTCAATAATTTCACATTTATTCAAGTAAACACACCTCATACATATACAGACAGGCACACTGAATCTATGTGGTGTACTGTTGCCATTGTTATAGAATATTTTAACCGAAGGAAGACCTTAATGATGATGGGAAGGCAGCTGCTGCATTTTAGGATGATCAATAGGCAACTTAGAGAAGAGCAAGAGAGCTTGCCTAATGAGAAATCAATACTTTATTCAGTTAAGCTGATTCAAAGCTCTGCATCCTTAATGAAGGTATAGCAAATAGACATTTCTCCTTCTTTTAACTATTAGTGTCAGTTAGTGTGCACTCGCCATTCTTCTCTAAATGTACATAATATAGTAGTATTTCAAGATGTGGTTAAGAAAATAATGCAGGTAACAGCCAGATTTTTTTCCTATAGAAATGTGAGTACTTAGCTACATAAACCTTTAATGGGGCTTCTGAAAGGTTACTGTTTGCAAAATTAGCATTAGGACCACAGGGGGGAAATGCTGTCTGAGTCTGCCCCCCATCTCTCCTCTACAGGCTGTATTTCTCTGCTCGGCATGGAGGGTGGGGGCATCGCTGAGTCCCAGATCTCAGCCTCATCAGTCCGTTACAGCATGCTGGGGCTGCAGCGCTGGGGATCTGAGCTTTCCCGCCTTCACAACAAGGGACTGGTTAATGCCTGGAGCGCTGCTGCACATGACAAGAACCCATGGATAGAGGTGAGAACAGGGACACGGTACAATATAGATACATTGATATTCAGTAGACTGATACTATATGTGTGTAATGCATAGATGGAATAATTTATGTATTTATTCTAACTCGTGTTTTTTGTAGATCTACGAGGCCAGAAATAATTTTTCTTCCATTAGAACTCATATATTATAAAAATATCAAGCTTGCCTTATTGATACATTTACAGACAGCTTCATAAATAAAGAAGCTTTTGCTCAGCACCTTTTATGTTTTTTGTTTTTCTTTAAACTATTTTCCATTCCCATTTTGCCTGCCTTCATTTTATGTCACTTTGGTCTTTAGTTGAACTTTTGCATAAAAAACAAACTTAATTTACTGTCTGATTTTTCCACAATTTCAGATCAACATGCAAAGAAAGATGCGCTTTACAGGTATTGTGACGCAGGGTGCCAGTCGCATAGGAACAGCCGAGTTCATCAAGGCCTTCAAGGTGGCCTCCAGCCTGGATGGCAAGACATACACCATGTACAGAACAGAGGGAGAGAGGAAGGACCGTGTAAGGAGACGCAACACAACTCAGCAAAAATCAGTGCACTATAGTCCATATGTTTTTAAACTGATTCATTGTCCCCTAAATAAATGTACATAAGGCATCATTATGTTTAGATAGAAAAGAACCACTAGAGGGAGCTGTGACAAACATAAACAAATTATACAGCACACACAACACAAACAGATCTGGTTACATTTACTGTAAATTAGCTGTGACTCTTACCAACAACAGCTGTGAAACAGGAAGAAGTTATGTTAATGGTTGTTTTACACTTTAACAGGATTTTTTAAATATATATTTTTATGTTTTACAAATAGAGATCTACTTGAAATTCTGCAGGGAGTGCTTTACATCATGTTTCATATTAATTCATATATATTTAGAATACGTACATAAATCTACTTAAGAACTGCCACTAAATATCATTGTCAGTGTCCCTCATCTGTGGAACAAAAAGAACTAATTAACAGTACACTTTGTATGTTTGTTTGCTAACTCTTCATTTCTTTGTAGGTATTCGTTGGAAATGTGGACAATGACGGCACAAAGACCAACCTGTTTGACCCCCCAATCATTGCCCAGTACATCCGCATTATCCCTGTGGTGTGTCGCAAGGCCTGCACCCTGCGCATGGAGCTGGTGGGCTGTGAGCTCAATGGTAAACTCACACAGAAAACCTACAACACACATCCACACACTGCTGATATTCAGTCTACTGGTGTTTGTTAGTCACTGAAGCTAGTTTTTCACATCTTAAGTCTTTTAAACAGGCTGGAAAAAGGGTGGGAAAATTGTCATCCAATAGTCTTTTGTTTTTTTTAACCAGCACTTTGCTCCTGTGTTTCCTCATTAATTGTTTTCAGCCCTACACTCAGTGTTTTATCATATAGCAAAGAATGTTTCTCAGACGATTGCACTACGTTATAACTTTGAACACAGATGTGTATTTATCTAAACCCCATTTTACTACAGTAATACTGGCACGCATACTGCACATTGGATGCTTTTAATTCAGAGATTGTTTACTGCACAGACAGCATTGGTCATATTCGTCATCTCAAAATTGTCACCCCAGCAGGCAAATGTATTGCAACCAATTACTGTTGATGTTGCTGTTCCTTTTATCTAAAGCCAGGGTGGTTCTTTGGAACTCGCTGGCTTCATTACACTGTTAATATTCTTCTGCTTCTTGATTTATCAGATCAGTGTCTGTTCTTCTCCCATCAGTCGTGCATCCCAGTTTCTGCATGCTTCCAAAGTTGCTATATATGCAGCATGTTTTTGTTTTGGAGTCACCTGTCAGTCTGGTATGAGATCACAGCCAGCATACATTAGTTTTAAACATAGAGAAACACTTAAAAAGTACATTTGCATTCATGCAAAGCACCCATTTTAAAACTGACCGGTTGTTTCCTAAAAGTTGTTGGTCTGTATTTCCAACTGAATTGATTTTATTGAGTGGATCAACTGAAGAGTAAAATGATGACCAGGATGAGAAATTATGCATAGATGCAGTTACATGATGATAGACAGCAGTACAGGTGAAGTTTACAGAATCTTTCATGCATCTTTCACCCTCTGTTCGTCTGACATGCATGCTCAGCTGCTTCACTAACCCACACCCATTAAGAAGTCTGGTACAGCCTTTGTAGCCTGTACACTGAGCTCTACAAGTTTGTTTGTACTTTAGGATTGGCACGCATACTGAACATGTGAAGTGATGCAGAGGATTACTGTGTAACTCAATAATGTGGGTGTGGTCAACTTGAAGCACAGATGGTAGCTTTCAGAAGCCCCATTAAAGATGGAAACAAATAGTCGAAGGCACTATGTGAGCTCAGCTATGCCTAAAGCTGCACACTCATGATTTCACATTCACCGGTTTGCTTTATCTCTGTCCACTGCATCTGCTGCTCTCATCCTCCCCACCATCATCTCTGGGTGTCTGTTTACTGCTTCACATCACTGGCTGGCCTGGGCTGCTTCCTGTCCGTCCCCTGTCTATCATACTTTCTCTCTCTCTCTTTCCCTTCTTCTTTTTTCTGTCTCTTCCTGGTCTCACCTTCACAGTGTATTCACACACTTCAGGTTGTTCAGAACCGATGGGCATGAAGTCGCGGTTGGTGTCTAACCGCCAGATCACGGCCTCCAGCACCTTCCGCACCTGGGGCATCGAGCCCTTCACGTGGCTCCCTCACTACGCCCGGCTTGACAAACAGGGCAAGACCAACGCCTGGACCGCCGCTACCAACAACCGATCTGAGTGGCTGCAGGTAGGAGAAGAGGACATGACAGAGCTGCACATTGTTGTTTCTTCGTTTGTGCATCGTTTGCAAAGCGAGGCTGTGTCTGTGTCCTCAGGTGGACCTGCTGTCTCCCAAGAAGATCACAGGAATCATTACACAGGGGGCCAAAGACTTCGGTTCCATCCAGTTTGTCACAGCCTTCAAAGTGGCTCACAGTGATGATGGACAGTCCTGGACCATCGTGAAGGACGAGACCACAAAGACAGACAAGGTCAGTCCAGCTGTGGCCAGAAAAACGCTCAAATGTTGAGTAAAAGAACTTGAAATTTATAGAGGAAATAGTATTGTGAGGGCATGTGAAATACATTATTGAGACAATAAAACAAACCAAAATACATCTGATAGGTAAAACACCATATGATAAAATATGTACTTAATTACAATAATAATAATACATTTAGAAGAAAGAACTGGTTGTGAAAGATGGTTGTTTACTGGTGTGGTAAAGGAAACCATAAAAAAGGCTTGTCTCTGACGTACTCGTCTACAAACCTTGAATCAATTATGTCGACACTGGGTTTGATTAGTTTTCTGTAGGCCCTCATTCATAATGCATCCAAAAATCTATTTACCTGCCAGATGTGCATCAAAGTACACCCAAATTAATGAAGTTAAATTAAGGATGTGGAACACTCAGTTTTATCCGCTTTAAGCGATTAAACATGCAGTTCCGTTTATAGTATATATCTGTCTTTTATGAGATTTTATGAGGTTGTACTAATTGTCGAGGGTCATTTTACATGTTTTTTCTGGTGTTAAGTTCACCTGGTGAATTTCTGCTTTTTGGTGCCTATCCTCAGTAAATTTGTGGTTTTCACTGGCATTTATTGCTGTTTCATTGAGAGTTTGAGAGAGTGTATTCATATCGTTGAAGAAACAAGCAGAATAAAAATCTTTTGGTATCTGGATTAAAACTAACTAACAGCAGCTATGATATTTCTTGTTTTGATTGGCTACTATTCTCTGTCCAGATCTTCCCAGGCAACAGCGACAACAACGTTCACAAAAAGAACATCTTTGAGCCCCCGTTCTACGGCCGATATCTCCGCATCCTACCATGGGAATGGCACGAACGCATCACCCTGCGAATCGAGCTTCTTGGCTGTGACGAGTAGTGATGCCCTGCAACCGCGCCCCCCCTCTTCCTCCTTTCTCTACCTCCTCCCTGCCTCCCCTCCTCCCTCCCTCCTTCCTCCCTCCCTTGTCCCTCCTGAGCCACACCTGCACTGCCTTGCTCTCAGGCCTAGGGGGCAGCAGACACCAGAGTAGCACACCACCACCCCAACCCTGGCTGGTTGGAGGTGAGAGATGCTACCCGTAACCACTGTCATCAGGGCCCTAGTGAGTTTAGCTCACCGTACCCCCTCTTTGTTCGTTTCCTGAATTGATCACTCATCTTTTCCAACTGAACCAAATCTGTGGTCATTTCAAGAAACAAACGTATGTCTTCTTTGTTACTGAGCAGAGTTGGGGTCAGAAATTAAAGGTGGACCCTTTTATCCCTTTGACAGTGGTCAGGGGTAACAGGACTGCTGCTGTATCAGTCGGTGCTGCCTAGACTCTGATCCTAGATCACTTCTACCTGGAACATTGAACCTCCAAGACCCACGGCTGGTGATGTACATAAGCTCCACTTAACGGCTTGCACACACACACACACCTCCGATTGACATTTATGGTTGACTATTTTTCTTTAATAAAAAGTGGATCTGCACATCTGATTAATGTCTTATAAGTCCGGTAGAAACCGGCTTCTTGCTCTTTAGTGGGAAAAGTAGCAAGTAAGACCAAAGTTTAAAACCAATTTACATCAAATTCTCACAATCTCAAGGTGTCCCACTATGTGTTCTTCAATATTCCTAGTATTTTTGGTTTGGACAGAAAAATCCTCAGTTCATTAGTTTGAGCTGCTTTAGAGGGTTAACATCCCAGGTGTAAACATATTATTTACCCTGGTAAGACATATACGTGTAGCAGCCAATAACAGAAGAGCGAACAACCCACTATTTACACAAATTCTCATTTTTGCTGAACATGTGTACAAAAGCGTATTCAAACGTTTACCAAGCTCTATCTATTTCTGTTTGAGGCCACAGCCTCATTTGGAGGCTTCAGGCCAAATCAGTGTAAAGTCATCAACTCATCTTGTGCCAACACACCCTCAGATTTTTGTTTCTGTGGGTTTATTTTGAAAAATAAAGTATACGGTGCACTGACTGAACAGATTGAAAAATTAATCAAATACACACCAAGTCTCTGTCACTGTGGGACATAATCAGTCAATAAACCATCAAAGTCACTTTAGCAGCCAAACAGATGTGATCTCAAAGCCAGAGCATACACCCTCACTGACAGACAGGATGTTATAAACAAAGGACAAAGAGAGTTTGAGATCACTGTTGAGTAAAAGAGAAGAGACACTTTATTACTCTTGAGAAAATGAATAATCTCTGCTGAGTAAGATTTACACATGCTGCTGTGATGAGCGGGTGTGACATGTTCAGCCAAAAAAGGACATCTTACACAAGAACTCCAGTCTTAACATTATTCATTCAGAAAATGATTACACCTCTCTGTCGTTTGATTACATTTAACATTTGACAGTTTTTTGCAGTATTCATATGTTATTGGCTGCTACAGCAAGCAGTATCAAATTTCATGATTGGTTTAGTAAAAAAATTGGTTAGCATCATAAACTGAGAAATGAACAATAATGTAGAGGCTGCAAGTTAAACATTTATGAGGGGTGTTATTGTCTCAGGTCAAAGCAGATCTGCTCCTAATGTACAGTAAATGCTACTGAACGCTACTAATTCACTCACTCGGCTGCGCTTCTAGTTCTAGTCACATAGTTTAACTTTTTTATGGCACTTTGATGTTTTGTGTTTTGACATTTGAAATATCCAAAAAACAACAAAAAAACAACAACAACAGTATTGTGCTTTGAAGAACAAACAGTTAACCTTCTTAAGTACTACATGTAAAAAAATAAATAAATATACTCACAGTTTAGTTTCTTTGTTGGATTAAAGCGAGCTTTGAAAGTCTGGGTTGTTTAGTGTGAACATGTGACATGAATATATACAGTACTTTTGTACTGAGGGCTGTCCGTATTAGTAGATGTTAATGTTTGCTGCAGACGTCTTTTTAGGGTCCAACATTATGCCTCCAGTAGAAAGCTGAGGCCCTGCTGATAAGACTGTAAAAGAGAAACCAAATTAAAACTGATTTTTACGGTTCCACTGGACATGTGACACGACCCGCCATATCTGCTTCTGCCGCCCCCATTACAGTATTCTAAACCTTTACACCCCATGAATTATGAATTATGGGCTTGTGCAATATTATACTGTTAGTTTTGATAACAATGAATATTAATTCAAGATCCAAAAAAAAAAAAATAAATCCACGAGGGATAGCAGTGCCACTGAGAGGTCGAGGGTAGATGTTGTTGTCAAACACTGTACAATATTTATTATTGTTGCAGACGATTCCATAAGCACTCACCCTTGCTTTCCATGTCTGCATGCATTTTATTGACTAGTGTTATTCAGTTTAAGTTGAACCAATTTGAATTTATTGGTGGCATAGCTTCATTTTTTTTACTAGGTATTCATCAACATTCAAAGTATTGTAGATATCTTGTTTCCCCGCTATTCAGGTTTTCTATGATTGATCAAAAAATGATGACATTGATGTGTTTTTATGGTATTATAAGTTCATTTCTTGCTATACTGACTGTTGACCTCATAGAATTTAAACTGGATTTGAAGTTTTTTTTATTCCAGTGTTGTGTTTCTAAGAGGCTTCCTTTATGTTTGACCTTTGTATCTTAAAATCAAGAATAAATAAAGAATTTAAAAACAGAAATTTTTTCTATTGTCTCTAAATGGTTTGAATAGTACCCCAGTGGTCTGTACGTATATCACTGGATGGAATATTTAGCTTATATTATTAATCGTATTGCTGAATTAATTGGAGCTGTTTTCCATTTAAAAAGGTGGAAGATCAAAAGGCCGAAAGCACTGAGGGTCGTTTCGCCTGTTTAGCATTCAAACACCCCAGGGGCCTAATCTCTCTTTATACGACGACACAATCTTCCAAAGGTATCTCCACCGGAGGAGTCCCCTTCTCAGTCCCCTGCTCAGTCTCATTACAGCCTCTGAAGGTCACACTAAAGGGGTGAAATCCCTCTGTAGGGTTTCAACACCTCCATCATAAGAAAACACATTTATACTGTGACACTGTGAAGGTTAAACTATGGAGAAACCTCGTTGTAACGTTGGTGGATGAATGTTTGTGCAGTGTTTTAGCACAATGGTACGATTTGAGGAAAATGGCTGTTGTACCACCAGATTACGTCACTCCAATTAGTAAATACCGGCTAATTATCACGTAAGACAACAGTTGTCAGATGATCTCATCGAGTTGCCATCAGCACTCAACAGACCAGCTGTTTTTCCCTCTGGAGTTGCTGGCAGTTAAAGTGTTGAGGACCTAATGACAGCTTTCTCCTCTCTGTCTCCACCAAATCTCCACCTTGTCTTCCTCCTATTGTGCTTTCTCTGCACAGCTTTTCTTTTATGGTCTAGTATTCAGTGGGGGGATCATTGTTTTGTTTCTATATACTGCTCCTTTAAATTACACAAATTACAGTTTTAATGGTTGGATTCCCATCCTTTTCCAATTATTATTTTGTTACAGTTAGACAACACTTAAACATAAAAATAATTATCATAGAAAACTCTTTCAGATGCTTCAAAGTTGATTGTTTACCATGGAAACAGCAGCTTGACCAAAAAGACCAATGTGTGCTTTAAAACACACATTTCAGTTAATAGAGCTGCTGAGTGAGTTATTTGAAAAATGTTACTGTAAGCATCAGATAAAATCTTTTCATGGACATTATTAGTTACATTTCCTCTGGATTTGATCAACTATTATTTGAAATGGAATACAATAATGTCCTAAATGTATATATGTCCAGGATTTTGAGATTAAGTGCTGCTTTTACTACACCTGGTAAGAAACAGAAACACCCCTAAATACAATGATAAAACATTATGTTGCAGTATTAGAGGTCTAAAGATGTTTAAATGTGTCAGGATTATATAAATGGGGAAGAAAATCATGGACAAGGAAAGTTGTCTTAATTAAGATTGATGAAAGGAAGTGATGCGTATAAAAACAAAAAACAACGCCTATAACATATAATCATTTTCTACAGCATTCAGTCTATAAAACACTTCTGATTCTCTTTCTCGGAAACGTCTTTATTACCCAAGTTTGAAGTGTTAGTAAATGTTCTCCAAACCAAGACCCAAAATGTCTAAAGCAAATACTAATATTTTCTGTGTACATAAATTGCTTAACATCTCCCAGAGTTGTCTTGGAAAGAATGAAGAATTTAATCCAACTGACTGCTCCTCCATCAGCTGCGTGCCAGGCTTCACTTTGTTTGGTTTCCTGGTATGACAGCTGGCCAAGGATGGACATGGGCACTGGGCCAAAGGACGCAGGAAACTGCAGTGGGTTTGAACAGGAAGGATCCACTCCTGGAAAACAACTTCTATTTCAGATCAGATATGTACCAACACAGACTACGTCTCAAGGGGTGTTTCCTAAAAAAGGGGAAATCCTATGTTATTTCTGTGCAAATAAATGTTGGAAACTGTTGATTTGACAGATGATGAGTGGTATTTAAATAGTAAAGATCATAACTACAGCCTTTATTTGGCGTTTATGTTTAGTCGGTGCTTAACTTACATCAGTGAGTAACAAAAAGACGGGAAATTGTAGTGTTTATTCATTATTACAGCTCATTTGAATCTTTTTCTTTTTAATCAAGCTGGAAACTGTCACCCTGAGCCCTGCACTTCACTCTCCTGTCGGTCTTTTATTGAAGCCTTCCTCTCTAATCATTTCAGTCTCACTCAAACCACACTCTCTCACACAGACACACACCTTTTGTGACTAACCATCCTTCCTATGAGGAGTCTCTGCTAATGACACTGTGTGACTGCACATACTGATACCATCAGCTGCTTGGCTCTTCAGTCAAACCACGCAAACATAAACACATACAGTCATCTCTTCCTCTTTCATGTCGTCTTTCTGGACCAAGCTCGGCTCACCTCCCTGGGCCTGAATGTTGCTGCTTTGCAGAAATTACACCCCTCCAACGCCACAGTCACCCAGCAGTTCACAGGGGCTGCTGGTATTTGGGGCCCCAGGCCAAAACCTTTCATCTGGGGCTTTGGGAAGAGCATCGGTCTGCTCTCTTCAAACACACTGGGAGATAATGGCTTAGACACACACAGGGAGGGGAAACGGTTGTCACACTGGCTGAGAGCGGGGGCTGCAGTGGGTAACACACATTAAAGCTAGGTTTCAGGAGCTGTTGATAACTAATCTTAATGCCATTTAAATTTCATTAAAAGTTTAATTTAATTTGGGAACAAAGTGAGATTTGAGATTTAGTGAAATACATTTTATTTGTTTGTGGTCTGGTTGCATTTTGTCCTTAAAGACAAACATAACATACGCCTTGAAGGTCCATTATGTAATATTTTGGAGGATCTATTTGTATAACTATATTATTATTAATGTATAATCACCTGAATATATGAATCTTTATGCTTTTGTTACCTTAGAATGAGCCGTTTATACCTACAGATGCCGTGGGTGTCCACCATGTTGAACAGTCATATTTATACAGTAGCCCAGAACAGACAAACCAAACACTGGCTCTAGATAAGGCCTTTACAGTTTTTAATGTGTTTTCGTGACCACCGTAGTTTCTCCTTCGTGCTTAGAAGTGTAGGGTCAAACATTATTGAGAAAATAATTATACCTGCTAAACATCAGCATGTTAACATTTGCCAATTAGCACTTAGAAGAATACACAGCTGAGGCTAAATCATAAGTTGTTCGTTATTGGGTAAATTTAAATTTTGACCTGATGATGGCACCAGATGAAAAGTCAAAGGATCACCAAATTTATTACAATTCACCCCAACAGGAAATGATTTATTGAACCAAATATTATGTAAATCCATTAAGTAGTTTTACTAAAAAAATTAAATTAAAAAACCTCATGGTGGTGTACCGTTACAGTAGTGTCGGTACCAAATTTCTTGGCAATCCATTTGATAGTTGCAGAGACCTTTCACTAAAACCCCACAAATGTCAACCTGATGTGCTTGAAGAAAAGTCAGGCAATCACTCAGTCAGATTATTCAGATTCATCATCTTGGGACCATGAATGACTATACACAATTTCTTGCTAATCCACAGTTGTTGAAGTATTTTGGTCTGGACTAAAGTGTGACCGACCAACCAACATTAAAAAAGGGCTGAAAAGGAAATCTCAGGATAGGAAGCAAACCCTTTTGTGGACCCATCATTTATATTTACTTTAGCCCATATTTTAGATGGTAATGAATACGGGAAGGGATGAGAGTGGTGGAGAGGAGACTGAGTAAGTATGAAGGGTTTACCAAAACAAAGCTGTAATTCATGGTATTCAGCGTCAGTAACAATGAAAAATGTTCCAACTTTTACCAAAATTTTAACCAGAGATGATTTAATTGAGTCAATTTAACCTCTTTTTGTGACAAGTGTGAAATTTGTATTTTTATTTTCTGACACTATCCAACTTTTTGTGGCTGGAAAGAAAAAAAAGTAAGAATGGATTGAGGAGGGGGATACAACATGATGAATACTGAGGGTTAACTGGCATGATGAGCTCAGCTTTGGGCAAACCACAACTGATGAGATGTTGGTGTTGATCCCAGATCTGGGATTTTTTCCATTAGATGATTATCATTTTTTAGCAGTGACTGTAACATTAATGCAGCTAGACTGTTTGTAAGGTCACATAATAAACTCAAACTAAAGTTGAAATGCCCTTGGAACAGAAATTCTGCTTTGGTGAAAGGTTGTGCTCCTTTACTACTCCTAGCTAGGTTTTAGCGATGATAGCGGGAATGTTTTTTTATTGCCTTTAATCGATAGTGACAGCTGAAGAGTGACTGGAAAAGGGAGTAAATGGAGGCAGGGGTGACACACAGCCAAGGGCCACAGGTCGGACTCTTGGTACACGTGGCACTACCATAAGAGCTATAAGGGATCCCCCTAGACTGAAATACTTCAACAACTCTTAGATGGATTGCAATGAAGTTTTGTATAGACGGTCCTGGTCCCCAGAGGATTGCGTCTTACTGACTTTTAACACAACGCCACCATGAGTACTTGAGACGTTTTTTTCTGTTGACTTGGATTTGTATTTGCACTCAGACTTGTTTCGGACTTTGGTCTCGCCAAATATTCTAGTTGGTCTCAACAGAGTCCAGCAATACATTTTTTTTCTGAAGTAACTTCCTCCTCCAAAACAAAACCACTGATGAAGCGTGCTTGTTTAGATAACGGGTATAAGTGTAATTCCAAATCCATTTAGACTAGGCCTCGATATTGGCCGCCTGGTAAGCCTCGCTGCCAAAACGTATTTCATTGGCAATGGCAAAAGCATCTTTCTTTTTCTGTCTCAGCCTTGACTCTGTCTCAGCCTTGGGCTCAAACCTTTTTGGACTCGACTAACCCTAGGCTTGGACTTGTCGTGGACTTAATAAAGGTGGTGAGCGCTGCAGTATACCTATTAAACATAAACATTGTCAGTGTGAGCATGTTGCAATGCTGTTGTTAACATGTAGCTCAATGCACCGCAAGCACAGCCTCACAGAGCCACTAGAGTCACTGTATTGTTACACTTGAGTTAATATTTGGTGTAATGTAACTTTATGTTTCAAAAAAGAGGAGGATAGAAGAAATATGTAAATGTGGTAAATCAACAAATTGGATGTTCAGTATGTACGCTAACCATCCTTGATTACTGACCACAACAGTGATTTAAAATTCAACGCTGAACTTCCTGGTTGCCTTCAGGGGCTCGGGGCAGCTTTTTCCTCAACATCCCCAAATCCACCATCACACCCCCCTCTTGTGAAAGGGGAGGTCTTGGGTTTTTGTTATGTCAGCTGGGTGTCAATCAAGTCACTCTAAAAACATCAGCGGCTACAATCGGCTGACCACATAGGAAAGCATAGCGTGCAGAGAGGTTCAAGACTTTTAGTTTGAGTCTGAGTGCTTTGGCTCTTCTGGGGGATGGCAATGTCGTGTCAGGCAGTAATATTTAGTAGAGCTTTAGGATTCACCATGTGCCAGTGTCAGGAGGGCAGCTTCCATCTGCACCGTGATAACCAGACTTCAGTCAGATATTCGGGCGACGGCACAGCAGCAGCACATTCTCTCAGGCCCCAGCGGAGAACTGGAATTGCTCTTGTTTTCCACCACGGCTGCTATTATTTCAGCTAATGACTGATATATGAGTTCATGTGGCAATATTTGCTGTGTTACTTGAGGCCATGGCAAAACAGGGGCACGGAATATGCTCTGTCAGCCTCAACATAGCAGGAATATAGAAATTGGTAGCCTTTGACAATGCTGCTATTTGAGAAGACAGGAGACCGAACAGCTTTTTGTTATTTGTTGTCATAAATAATATGTGCAGTTTTTCTTGGTTAGAGTTACTCCGTCACATGCATCACGTTTTTTTCCGATGATATCCCTTATTTATATTTTAAAACTCCAGGGTCAGAGTCAGTTCATTCTGGAATGCATCATCCAGAGAAAGCAGTAAAATACACCTGCGTTGTTAACTGTTAATGGGACTTTTCCTCTGCTGTTAAATAGACTTAAAACTAGTAAAAGTACTAAAGGATTATTGTTTGTGTAAAAGAATCCTTAGGCAATAAGCTACAGCATGGTTATGTATTATATTTGCACGTATGCTGTCTAGGTGTAGCTGTCTTGTTATTACATGTTTAAAACTTTGGTTGAGAAAAAAAACATCAGTTGGGTTTGACCACGATGAGATGAGGTCACGACAGGGGTCAGCTGACCCGACCCCCAATAATTTTAAACAATGATGCAAACAGAATTCAGGTTGCATCTGTGTGCAAGATGGTGTGATGTGGTATTAGTATCTGCACAGGTATTTGTATTTGTATCACTGTTGTCTTAACAGAGTTTTTAAACTGGAAAATGAAAAGGTCACTTTAAGTGATATTCTTTCATTTGCTACTCACATTTAGATGTTTAGTTTTAGTTTTCAATCTGCAGCCAACTGCAGAGTTCATTTTCAGCCTATATGATGGAATATTTTATGATTAAATGTCACTATTCAAATAAAACTCAACTCAAGTTACACTTTTGCAGGTCAAGAGGTACTTCTTATACATTTACAAATACTGGCAGTATTAGTTCAGCATTCAAACACCTGCTGTTTGTTAGTAAAAGTTCAGAAGTATTATCAAAATAAACTTAAAGTACTAAATTTCCCCTGTGACTGAAATATTATTTAATGTGAAAGTATTGGATTGAATTTTACTGTTGCAGCCTGTTAAGGTGGAGCTAGTTTAGTCTACTTCATATACAGTTTGGTTCTTCAGTCCAGTGGTTCCCAACCTGTGGGTCCAGATAAATCTGATGAGAGGTTGTGAGATGATTAATGGGAGAAAAAAGAACAAAGTTCGGCTGCACACATTTTAATGGATTATTTCAGACTAATCTAATCTAATCTTGGTTTGTGTTGTGAATTGTAATGGAGTAGAAGTATAAAGTAGCTTCACAATTGTACATTATAGTAAGTGTAATAAGTACTTATTGGTAATAGTGATGTTTGCAATGGCAGTGGTGGAATGTAACTAAGTACATTTACTGTACTTAATTACATATTTGAAGTACTTTAGTCTTTAGGTAGTCTTTTCTTTCTCCACTCCAGAGGTAAATGTTGTGCTGCCATTTTACCACTGTAGTTAGGTACGTTAACAATTAGACAAAGCTTCGGCACACAAACATACAAAGATCTTATAAAATATGTCTCGTTGTAAACTGAACTACAGTACAGGTGTGCAATAACCAGTCCATGAATCAATCGATTGACAGAACAGAGATAACCGGTGTGTTTACAGTGTGGTACAGAGTCTGAACACTGTCACTGATGTTATATTTAGTAGCCACATATCCGCCGTATGGGCTCGTGCGCGGCGGGCTCGTGCACGGTGAGGTCACCGCCGGAGCTGCGATCACTTCAAAGAGGATGCCTCGTCCCGTGACGTCACCGCGCGCGAGTGTCAGGACGGTCCGGTGAGCGGAGAGACAGCAGAGGATGAGGAGGGGATGAAGAGAAGACACGCTGGGAGGACAACTGCTTATCTGTGAGTGACTTTTTACGACCGTAGACCGTTTCCCCCACAAACAGAGGCTCCTGGGCCGGACTGGAGCCGCAGACAGGTCGCTCGCTTTCTGTTTGAGGCAGGCTGGGGGAATTTATGGTGTAATTCAGAGAGCTAAAGGGGACTGCGCTTCATACGCCGCGTTACAAAGGTATCAAATAAACGAGATGGTTATTTTATATATGTAATATATGATAGAGGTTGAATAGGTTGAAGGGGGAGATGAAGAGGAAACTGCGAAAGGAAGAAGTGAAGGAAAGATATTAAACGTGAGAATTGTCTAAGGAGGTGTGAGAAAAGTTTCTTCTGTTTGTACAATCCACATACTAGATGTGCTGTAGTCTGTAATGTATCATAGGCCAGCACAGTGCACGTGATTGTAAAGGTTTTCATCGATTTTGGCTGTGAAAATGTATTTCTATATATGTGTGTAGGTGAGCAGACTAAATAAAAAGGTGGATTACTTTAATAGGTAGCTGCAGGTTCACATGTTTGAGATGAAAGCAGGGGTTTAACATTTAGAACTACTCCCGTCAACCAAAAGTTCTGTCTCGCATGATATGGGAGTGATTGGAGTTATTTTGAGAAGAGTTTAATTCATTATTTTTGACTGTTTTCATTCGCTGTGACAAATAATGTCTTTAATTCGATTGTGGCTTCCATCCAAACAATGCAGCCTGCAGGCACAGCGTCCTCCTCCCGGTATTTATGGCTGCTGAATAGAATAAAGAGCGCAGTATTTACTCTGACCCTTGGTTCAGCACAGGACAGCGTCATGCTCAGTCTACTGCGCCCCCTCCTGGCCGTCTGCTTGTACCTGCTGCTGTCCGGCGGCCAGTGCAGGATGCCCGCGTACAACAATGGCTTTCACTACCAGGACATCAGCAACGGAAACGGAAACGGAGAGAGTAGGTCCTCTTGTCTTGTCTTGTGTGTGTGTGTGTGGGATACTGAACAGTCACCACTTTACATCTACTTACCTTAACTAAAATGAAGTGACCATGTTTATGTTGGCCTAAACATAAAGTATCAGTTTCTCCAAACAATATCTGTAGCATGAAGTCTTTTGTAGACTTTGTAGACTTTGTAGTTTGCTAATTAAAAGTCTTTTGTAGACTTTGTAGTTTGCTAATTAATAGTGGTGAAGGAAGTGTTCAGTATTAAGTATCCCTTTAATTAAGTAAAAGTACTCACACCACACTGTAAAAATACTCAGTGGCATGTAAAATGTTGCTTAAATAAAAGTATGCTAGTATAATCAGGAAAATGTACTTAAATTATAAAAAGTAAAAGTGCTTAATGCTGAAAAATAGCAGATGTGGCTGTTGTATTATTATTATATATTATTATTACTCATTAATAAGCAGGATTTTACTGTTGTAGTTGGCTGCCATGGAGATTATTTTTCATAAGACCTGAGCTAATGATGATTTTCATTATGGATTAAGCTTCTGGTTATTTTCTTGATTAATTGATTGATTGATTGCTTCGTTTGGGAAACTTGAGAAAATTGTGAGAAATGTCGTCACATTTACCAATCAGTGGTCCAAACCTCAAAATGATTAAATATGAAACAGGAAGTTTAGGCCTTTTTCACAGCAGACATTTGAACATATAGCACAGAGAGCACAAGTGTTACTAATACCATCAATAATTGCTGTATTAGTTTCAGGGCCCATTGTCATGGTTTACAGAGACACCTATATGGAACAGAGCCATCATTATTAGTTACAGCTATGCTTTCCTCACTATTACAATTAAAAATGTCAAGAAGGTCCATAGGATAAGATAAGAATTATGACCCAGCACACCAGTCACATCCCACTTCATTACCTGGCCAGTTCAGTACTGCCTGGTCACACAGCAGAGATTAGAGTCACATACCTGAGGTAGTTGGCTTTAATCATCACTGTAAGAACAACAAAGTTAGGATTCCACTGCCTGACACATGTTGTATTCCTGCTGCTTGTGTCCTCTCTCTATTCAGTCTATTTCAACGGGGTTCGTCTCCATGTGGAGTCCCCGCAGCACGCAGTGTCGGCCGCCAGGGGGAGCAGTGTGACCCTTCCCTGTCACTATCACTACGAGCCTGAACTGACCGCACCACGCAGGACCCGGGTCAAATGGTCCTGGTTGCCTGCCAACTCCATCAGTGCACCTGTTTCCCCCGCAGCCTCCGCCAGGGAAACCGAGGTTATGGTTGCTATGGGCAACCGCCACCGCAGCTATGGCAGCTTCCGGGGACGGGTGCGCCTGAGACGCTCAGCACCGGGGGACATGTCTCTGGTCATCAATGAGCTGCAACTCAACGACACGGGCAGATACCGCTGTGAGGTGATTGACGGCCTGGAGGATGAGAGTGTGACGGTGGAGCTGGAGCTGCGGGGTGAGGAACGAGTGTGTGTCTAAGTGTGTGATGAGGGTGAAATGTTATGTGAGGATTTTAAAGTTTGAGACTTTAGAACACTAAACTCATGAGTCGGTTTATGCAAAATGTTTTTTTGACTTCCGTCTTGTACTTTCAGCTTAACATTGCAGTAGGTAAGAGCGAGACTGAAAAGGTCCCAAAATAAAAACATAATCTGTGGCCACATTGATGTATCA